CATCTCCATCATCAGCAATGGAGTTAGTGAAACTGGTGGCTGCTGGGGTGTGCAAGTCTGACACTCTTCTGCACGTACCACTCTCACCGAACTACAAACCTGGTTCACTGCTAGTGTGAGATCCTTGTTGTCAGCGAGTACAAAGTAATCTTCAAAGAGAAACAGCTGAACAGCAGAGAGAAGCGCCACCCAGGCAAATCAAAGCAGAGCTCTGGGAACAATCAAAGGCACCTGTGATTCTACTCATCAAAAGTCACCTTGCCTTTCAGCAGTCATCCCAAGATACCAACAGGATCAAAGGCTACATCTCTTCCCACTATCTGCACAGAGAATATGCATGACATTTCCAAACATGGCTTAGAAGAGAGTTTAAAAGAAGAAATTGTTCCTTTTGGGGGTTCTGGATGTATTGCGTGGGCAAGTGTAGGAGGAAAGGCAAGACACTGGACAAAAAGGCTAGAAACCTGATCAGATACAAACACTCAGTATCTGATAATGGATTGCTCTTGGGATGCAAGATCCCGGACCAAATCCCCACCATGACAGAATATCCCTAGTTTCCAGGGTGGTGAGAACTGACAAAGAGGTCTCTCTCTATTCCCAACACCAACAAACCCAAAGGTCAACTTTCACAGAACTAGAAGAACACTTGGTTTCCAAAGCTGCTTCTTAGCCTGCTGCTACCTTATTCCCAAGTCCAGCTCACAGCCAAGTAGCCATGAGATAACATGAGCAGCTTTTGGTCATTTGAGCCGGCTGAGTGTGTTGGCATAAATCAACAGACCACTCCACAGATAATTTCTAATAATTTATTTTGATTCATAATTGCATCCATTTGGAAACACTGAGTATGATGCAAAATGGACACAAACACACACACACCCTAATCCTTTCAACACAGCTCACAAATATGTTTCAACAAGTTTCTTCCTAAAGCTTAGGGTGGAAAAAAACCACCAACCCACCCCCCCCAAAACCCCGCAAACCCACACCACAAAACACTCCACTCTCCAAAGTAGACAGTTCTTCCAGAACCCATCATTCTTCACATTATCATTAGAGGAGCTCTGTGAAGACAAGACTTTGGGAGGCTGAATTCCCGCATTTCATCAAGCACCTCACCTGTCTGCAGAAAGATTTTTGCTGTACAAACATCCCAACAGTGGAAGAAAATCTAAGGAAACACTGTAGAGTTCTTCACTTGAAAGCAATACAGGAAAACACATCCATAATCACACACGCTTCCTGCCCTAATGAGGCAATATACATTCATATAGAAGGAAAAAACAAAGCACATTATTAAGACATCAGGCAGTGAGGCAGTATCCATTTTATCTTCAGAAGAAATTTTACAGCAAATGGTTTCATTAAGACACTTGAAAGCAACCTACTTTGAAGAAAAAAAAAAAAGCACCATCATAGCATGAAGGCTGAAATGTGATTAGGAGCCACAGGCAGCACCAACTCAGGCTCACCAGTGACTTTTGTCATTTGAGGACAAGTTAAACGGAGAAACAGTCGATGTGGGGACCCATGACTTGCCTACAAAAAAGCACGACTTAGGACAAGACAGTTAAAGAGTGCCAAGCCACCATTTACAGGGTGTATCTAATGCTGCACAGGTTTTAGTACAGTCACCAAACAGGAGGGTGTTAGCGTTTGGACACAGAGGGTTTAACACTACAACAGCAGCAACATCAGAAGCCTGGCCCCTTAAGAGCTGCCCTGGTCTGCAGAATTCCACGCTAAATTTGAAACAACAAATGCCTCACTAAAAGGTCATAGTTAAAGCAGGATAAACTAATTTCCAAGTCTGTGTAGAGAAACATCAAGGCTAGATATTACCAAAATCCTTCCTCTTCTCACCAGTTCTGGGTCCTTTCTTCTTACACCAGGAAAACTTTTCAAGGGCCAGCAGGCTACTGCTCTCTGCACTGCCAGCTACGTGCACACAGTTTTATAGATGAGACACAGGTGAGTCCTTGCTTCAAAGCCACACAAACACAACCCAGAAGTCACCTCTCAAATACAGCCTGCTCCCACATACTCCAACACCCAGGCAACACAGATCTAGGCAGCTGCCAACACAGTGAGCCAGAGGTCTGACTCTTTATACCTAGGTTTTAACACTTTGTTACCAGCATGGCTCAGGAAGAAAATACTCAGGAGATAAATTGTCCTTTAGTGTCCAAGAGATCACAACAGCCTGCCCTCGCTGTAAGTGCAAAAGGGAGCACTACCCTTCAATGGCTTCTGGCCAGTTCTCAGGGCTATTAAAAGGAGAGCTCCAAAGTATGCATCTGAAGCTCCAAACACTTCCACCCTTTTAAATAGTAACATATCGTGCTACTTTATGCTATCTCCCAAGGCATTCACAAGGTAAATCCTCTCAGGAAGAAGCCAGGATGGTAAACAAAAGCCATGTCCTTCAAGAAAAAGTCACCATTGCTATATAGATTACAGCCACTTGGAGTTCCAGCTCACTGGGGAGTCAGCACTGCATTCTCCTCCTACAAAAACACAGCCTGGCAACCATTTTAGTGTCCTGACTGGTCCCAGTTCCCTCTAGAGTGAGTGGAAAAACAAAATTTACTTTAGCACGTTACCCCCACTATATTGGGGTGGGCTTGAGCAAGGTATGGAACAGTTACAGCAGTCCAAGGTCCTCTGTTCCTAATCTGCACTCCGAAGCCCACACTGCCTGGGAGAACACTACTGAGAGAGCCTCAGTGTAAGCAGTTCAGATGAAATCTCCCACCCCAGAGCTCACTAAAAGACAAGGGACAAGGCTACCCTGACACACAGGATGCAAAATAGTAACCAGTCTCTGCCCGTGGGACAAAGTGAGCACAACAGGGTCATGCACTGCCAGGGAAATGATCTGCGATCTGCTCTGCTTTCCCCCAGCCAGGAGTAGCAGGACTCTGAGAAACCACTTACCTCAAACCTGTAAATGCTCCCAGAGCTCGTTCAGCTCTTGGGCACATGATTGATTTCTGCCCTTGTAACTCACAGGGACAGAGAGCTGGGCTGCCTCCACTGCAGGGTGGGTTTTGGTTTTTTTTGTTAGCCCAGGAGGTCCTTCTGCCTTAATCTTCCCAAGCACCAGCAGGATGAACTATGAGAAGATCACAAACCTGCTAACCCACAACATCCCTGTCTCCAGAGTTGCCAAGCTTCAGTTCATCTCAGCAGGCACCACAAAATGCCTACGCGCCATGGAAACGTTTATAGACAACTCATGTGGAGGCGAGGTCTTTGTGTGAATTAAACTCCTAGGTCAGGCTCCAGCTCCAAACAGTCAGAAAGTCATACTTGGCTGCCAGAGGAACAGTTAGCACGTTGCAGCTGAGAACCTTTTTCTTCACATTAGGGTCAGGGAAGTGCTCAGAAATCTCTTAGTGTGTTCAGTGAGAGGCAGGAAGCAAGAGAGGTGTCCCCTTCACCCCCGTATAAAGGATTGCTCACTGCATGAAAAGGGGGAAGAGGAAATAAGCAACACTGAGTAAGTCAGTACCTCTTTCTGCACAGCCACATTCCAAGTGCAGCTGCTCCTCAATTATCTGCTGGCTACAGAAAGTGCCAGTTGAGGAAACCAAACAGTGCAAAGAGGGACGCGGTTTTCACCTTAAACTGGGACATGTAATGAGGAGCGCGCACGCTAAATACAGCGGGGATCTCAAGGGACACTCCTAACCCTGCTACCATCCATCCCTTCTTCAGAGATAACGCACAGTGAATTCACATCACTCAGACAACATCCCCCAGCTGCCTGCCACACAACCAGAGTCAGGGGTAGGTGTGATCCGTGCACGCTGCACACGCATCTAAAAATATCAGTAGCTTGGACAAGGCTCTTCCCTCTGATTCTGCTTCTCAGGCCCAACCCATAACCCTTGTGCCATGGTCCCAGGCTTTTCCAGCCAGACCTTTCATATTATTATTGCAGGGCCAACAACATAAACAAACAAAGGGTTTAAAACAAAAAGCAACAGAAAAAACTGCACTCACAAAAACCAGAAACCATCACTACCAAAACCTTGTGATTTCAGCTGAAGCTCAAGTCTGGGCAATAGTAGAGCTGCAGGCTGCTGAGGACCAGGTGACGTTCTTCCAGAACTCATTTAACATATTCATTCACCTGCCAGCGCAGGTCACCTACCCCAAAAGCAGCAGCTCCACATCCTCTCCATCTCCCTACATAATGCAGGGGCTGTTCCTCAGCTTCCTGGCTTGAGAAAACAGATCTACAGTCAGGCAGCTCCACCGTGACAGGGTTGAGAGCAGACAGGATCACTGTTATTAGCAACACAACCAATCAAGATGCTACCTACCAAAAATGCTGTTAGTAGAACTGTCTTCTCTCCCACAAGACTCCCTTCTCCCATAGAGAGAGGGAGAAAGGTAGTTTCCATAAAGCAACACTAACATCAGAGAGCACTCATTGTTTTCCCCTCAGAGTCCCCTGTTAGGTGCTGCTTTGAAACATGTTCTTTCTTGGTATACCTGCTGTCTTATGTCACAATCCATAGTAAGAGCAGAAACACTTGGAGGGAGATGAGCCTTCAAACCAACACAGACCCAGCCTACAGAAAGAACGACAAGACTGAAGACGACAGTGCCTTCTCACCCAGTCAGACAGATGGAGATGGAATAACAACTTTAAGGGTCAAGAACTGAAGATCTTACAAAGCCCTAAGGGTATGTTGCTCACAAAGGCACTTAATACAAGCGTGTATACAGCTGGGTGGAATAGAAGATAGGAAAAAAACCAAATGGAGCAGAGAGGAGGGAGCTGCTCAGTGACTGCCTTAGCCAAAGAGCTTGGCTTCTACAGTGGTCCATCTGTTATCTGTATCACAAGTTCACCCTCCTGAGATCTCTGAAATGTCGCACGTAGGTACGAGCCAGGGATTCCTTAACCTTTGCTGGAACCAGCACACACTCTGAAGTCCAACAGCGAGTTCCTCTTGATGCCAGGGTTCACACCTAACGTTAAACTCAAAACCTTGTGCTCTTCTTTCTGCCGAGCTGAGCTGCATAAAGCTTCCCACAGTGGAAAGCAGCAGGCTCCTTCTCTCCAGGTTTGTTTCTTGCTGCTTTCCTGCATCCTATTGCTGGCTGACAGCACGTGAAGAACCATCCTGCCTGGGAAAGCCTCCGACGTTGTCAGTGATGGGATAGGCAGCCCATACACTGATGCAAAGGAAGGGTGTGGGAGGAGGGAGTCCTAGTGGAAGGGGTGGTTCCCCTGCTAAAGAAAGTCAGTCATTTGCAGAAAGAAGCGTGTCACACGATGTCTTCAGCAGAGCGCTGTGGAGGAGAAGACCCCAGGCTCAAGAAATGTCCCCAGTTGCATAGGAAACCCCTGTTATACTGGCCAGTGTCTATCACTAACCCACCCAGGAGCCTGCGCCCAGTGTTGTCCCGCAGAGCCAGCCGAGCTTCCCTCTCGGTCACGTTGTAGCTGATGTTCAACAGCTGGATAAGGAGGATGTATCCCATGCCAGCTGTTACAATGGCACAGTACCACACACAGGTGAACGACAGAGCGGAGCTGGCAGCAGGGAAAAAGATGGGAAGGAAGCCATTTAGTTTTGGAGCAGCTGCTTTAGAGTGACTTTCCCTGGTAATCACTATCCTTTCAAATCCCTGTCTACATCTGCCACGGTGATCTCACTTTGCTGCTTTCATCAGATAATCCTTAAAGGCTTTCTCAAAATTAAAGCTTCAGGGCTTACTTAATGAGAGCTTTTAGCACTACCAGAGCTACTCTTGCACGCTGCTAGCACACCACCTAGCCCTTTAGTCTTACCTTTATAAAGGTACACGGCCCTTTTTTAAGGACACAATGATGCTCACACTTGATCGATGATGAAATGGAGCACAGAAGGAGGCAGAGTCACTTGTGCTAGTGGACTCTGTCCATCAGTGGCAGTGGCAGACTCTGAACTCATGTCCAATGCTTCTCACCACCCTGCCCCACCAGACCAGGCATAAACACTGTCTGTTCTAAGCAGATAACTCGGAGGGACAGTCACTAGATAAATAGTGAGGGATGAGAGAAAGAGACAGCACACAGATTCCAGGCTGTCAGACCTGCAACTAGTGGCAAACATACCTAAGGGTATATGTGTACTGTGTAGGACACAAGAAATAAAGATTTCAAAGCCCAGCTCCTCCAACAACTCTTTCCAAATAAATGGTGAGCTCCCTCCAAGTCTCAGGCTCCCACAAAAAGCAGTGATGCATTCCTGCTTTCAAGAGCTTTTTAGGGAGCACTTTTTGGTCAGGTTTGACAGCCAACAGCACTGGCCTAGAGCACAGAATGAGGAACAGGAGCTAAGCTGCTTGACCAAGCCTGCTCCCACCCCAGCTCTCTCCCAGACAGATGTCTCACCTGTAGTCAGAATAGGCCCCAGGGCAGTAGAACAACGCCACAAACGGAGTTCGGCCCCTACAGACGGTGTGCAGGGTCAACGTAATCCCGTACACAGAGGTGAGCATGAAGAAGGAGAGTGCAAGGATGAACGCTTGGTGGTTCTGCTCCCCTACACAGCTGTTAATCCTCCAAAGGAAAGAAGAGATTAATTTGCTTACAAAGAAAAGAAACTGGCTTCTCTTTCCTCCTCCCTCCCCCAGCTGTCAGAGAAGCTAATTTCCAAGGTGCTTCTATTTGACACAGGCTAAGAACCTTGAAACGCATTCAAAGAAGCTTCATAGCTTTTCATAGGAAGGTCATAGGCACAAGGCAATAGACCAGTAGGGTAATGGTGATAGATTCTTTGCCTCAAACTTTTAGCAAGCATAGGATCCTTGGCTGAGACACACCTATACCCTACTGCTCCCTGGTTCCAGTACTGCGTGCACACAGGCAGCTTCAGGTTCCCTTGCCCCAGGAGAGCACTGGTGGGAGTTAACTGCAGGACTGCTAGTACTCCACAGACTAAGTAAAAAAATAATTTAAAAAAGGCAAAAAATCTCCAAACCAACCAACCAACCAACCAAAAAAAAACCCCACAAGATGGAAACCAGTAGAGAACCAAAGGCAGTTCTGAAATAGGATGCAGAAGTTACAAGCTATCAGGTCAACCTGCTTACAATAAAGTTTAAATAAAATGGTAAATTTGTATTTACTGCTTTAAAGCATGTCACCAGGTCTTGCACATACCAAAAGCAACCTCATTTAACAGGGACTGTGAAAAGAGAAGCTAACTTCAAAAGGTGGGGAAGAGAGAGAGAGAGAGACAGAGAACACACGCACGTAGCCTCAGCAGTAGTGCATGACCTACCAGACACAGTGATGGTCCAGTCTCCTCACACACCTGCCACAAAGCCGGCAGTGGCCTGCTCGGGCTGGTCTGACCAGCTGGCATTTAGAGCACCAGTCCCTCTTCACACCTTCGGGCTCCTCAGACGACATCCTGGAATAGCCTTTGGCCTCCCCGTTCACAGCACGGCCGCTGGCAGTGCCCGAGGCGGTGACGCCATGGAACCCGTTGGAGTTCCCTCTGACGCTACTCTTGTTGGGCAAACCCTGGTGTGATGACTTCTCACTGCTTGCCGGGATGGGAAGGTAGCCAGGGTCTTTCTTGGCTCGAGACAGGGCTGCAAGCATAAGAATTAACCCGCAAGTGAGAGCCACCACTTGGGAATACCCGACGTGGCCTCGTGGAACCACCTCCTGAAGAAACACATAGTACATGTAGCCCAAGGAGAAGAGCCCCAGGCTCAGGAAGAAGAGAGTCCGTTCCTTCCTCCGGTGGGTGAGGTAGTAGTACCAGAGCAGCACCACGGGCAGAGAGGTCAGGATGACGAGCCCCAGCAGGAAGTGCAGAGCGGCAACGTGGAGGAAGACGGGCAGCAGGAGGAGAGGCGGCACCAGGCTCAGGTTAATCTTCACGGCC